CGCTGAGGGTTGAGCACTGAAATTCAGAACATGATCTGTGACAGCAGCAGCAGCCCCACAACTACCTGGTTTTCAATCTGAGAGGAAGAGCTGTGCACAGAAACAAGCTGATAGGTGAAACCAGGCTATCTCCCTGCACAAGCAATGGCCAGTTTTCTGACAGCAGGAATCCAGGAAAGGCTAAACAAATGTCCATTTCTTCTCATCCTCCTTACAAATGCTTACATGGAAAGCTCAGGAAAACCCCAGCCAAGAAGCAGCAGTGAATATGTAGAGAATCCTACATTCTAACCTCCGAGCACCCTGCAAATTTTACTTAACATTACAGATCTGAAGAGAGATTAATATTAGACTTCAAGTCTATTTTTAGGAATGTTTTTTTAAAATTACCTTATTTTTAGAGGCTGAGGCACCCAAAGGACCTGCAGGACACTCAGTACTTTTAAGTAAAACAGTAGTCTCTTTCTCCTGGCCTTTTGAATAGACAGAAGAGCATTATTTTACATTATGTTACAGGAACTGCTCCCTGAACATGCTACCCAGTAATTACAACAAGTTGCATTATGTAATTTTGGTGCTGTCTACTACTAAAGTCCTTGCTTCATAAAAGCACACTCAGAATGCACCCAAACGGTTACCAAACCTTGTGTCATCAAAGCCACGCACACCAGCCCTCCAGACATGCTCTCAGATGTAGCAGGTTAAAGGAACATCTGCTAGCACTGTGGCTCATGCCTATTAGAGAAAACATTTTCCCTACAAATTGGTACTTTGATTTTAAATTCATACATGGTATTTAGACCTGAACAAATTTTTAAAAACAACCTCCTCCCCCACTTCCAAAGACTATATACAGAAAAAAACATTGCCAATAAGAAAGAAATGTGAAATAGTAGGAGGGAAGGATACCTTATGTACTGAGTTATTGTAAACTCACAACCACTTTGTTGTCTGTCACTGAAAATTAAAGAACAGCAAATGTGAATGGGAAAAAAAATCACTTTTTTTAGAATTTTTAATATGGAATAAGTCTTGTGATTTAGAAAATTTGGTTCCACTTTTTTGGCTATTTAGCAAAAGCATTGTTCAAGTGTTTGCAAGTGCTGTATCTTTGTGTCTAAACAAATGAGACTCCTCTTAAATATATATAAGAAGTGCCATTATACCAAGAAGCATAGCACTAATTGTAATGTTAAGATAAATATTACAGCTGTTATTGATTGCAAATACAAATCAGGACTTCTAAGATTACATTCCTATAATTCTGATAACTCATAAGAAAGTGAAACTGCATTGGGCCCAAAGTAATTGAAAGTACCTGCTGCTAAAAGGGACAAATTTTGCCAGACTGGCTCTGATAACATCCTAATTCTGCCTTCATGTGAGATCATCCAATATCTTATATATTTATCAGCTGCCTGCTTCATCATGTCCCCAGCTGATTCCAAATGGTCTAGTCCACTGATTTAATTAAAAATCCCTTTCCTTCCCAAACACAAAACTTTTTACAACACTCATGATATTGTTTCTCTTTTAGAGTCTTCCAGATGCAGTTTGCACCTCTAATATTAAAGAAGAATCACTAGAAACACAGTCAGAAGTCTTCAGGTTTTGCCTAATCAAAAAACATAATACCATTGTTCTTAAATGTTTCTAAAAACACCATAAGCACATAAAAAGAAACAGTTTTCTTGCAGAAAATCAAGTTTACTTATGTAACATGTCTGTTTCTGCAAATCACTTCTGTGAAAGTATCATGCTGAAAAAAAGAATATTTTGACACATTTAATAAATGACTGAGGTTTAACATGATAAATGGTTCCACATTACAATTTTTTTCAGTAGCAAAGCCTGACTAAGCAATTCCTGCCCTTTTGCTCACCTAACTCCTTCTACCATTTTGCTAGTTTACTCCACAGTTGTGCTGATGCAACCATTTGTGGAGCTGCGCTCTAAGCCAAAACAAGACAAAATTACCTCATTTAAGAAAACAACACTACTCTTGTTCTTAGATCTAATTTTAGAATTCATAATCAGAAGGAAAAAAACCCTAACATCACAATTATTCAAAGTGCCAGTGAAGAAATTGTGACTATAAGGTGTAGTTCAGTTGCATAGAAAGACTCTTGTTTAACAGTTAAAGTTAGATCATTTGCAAGTGGAACATCAGGAAGCGAATCACTGTCGGATGGCCAAAGCTGCCAACATTTCATTTCAGGGAAAAAAAAATTATTTATATTCCAATTACAGCCTTTCCTCTTGGAGACAAAAGAAACTGAAACATGAAAAGTCAGTTTTTCTCAGTTCCATTTAGTACCCACCAGTGTAACTTTCAAAGGAGACATGCTTCAGATGTACTAGTAAGCTTGCAGAGAGAATATTCACATACAAAAAGGGTAGCAAGCAGGTTTTTCTTTGGAACATTGTCTCACGAGCAGTACATGGAAAAAATACTACACCTATTTTTTCCTATTCAAGAGTTTCAGAGTTGAACAACAGTGATCAAGTATTTAGAGTAAGTGTAGTTTATTTCTCCTTTGGTAAAGAAGTTCAAAGCTTACTTTGTGCAACAGTAGCAGAGGTGCCAGAGGAAGCTTCTGTAATTACTGCACTTGAATCACCTTCTGACAAATGACTTTTTAGACCAAGGGCACCGCTTCCTCCCAGACGTGCAGGTCACACACTCGCTTGCAGTATTACTGATTTGCAGACTGGAGAGCAGGATCCAGCACCTTCCTTGCAGAAGTCTTGTACTTCACCTGCTTCTCCATTACTTAGCTAATGTGACCATGTTGTGCTAAACTTTGGGAGAGTCACTGCTTTCCACATTAACTTTCACACGGATGTCTGATGCTGAGATGAAGAATTCTCAAGGTACTTATGGATCAGGATCAATCACCAAGCATGCAGCGTAGCTGAAGGAGTAGGAGAAACTCCTTGATTCGTGACTGTTACAGCTTCATACTCAAGTCTCCCAGGTCCAAGAACATCATATCAAGTGAGCAGGAAGTTGCCACAATGAAAAAACACAAATACACCTATGTCCTACTGAGAAAAGGCGTAATTAACAGCATTATGCTGCAAATGGGATTTTCATGAGCTCTGCTCAATTTTCACCAAGGAAAAAAGATCCACAGACCTTGACTGCAACTAGGTTGCAGATTGTTGCTTCAGTCTTTAATTATTTTAACCTGTCTTACTGAACTCTGACTCTCCCCTCAAGCCTTGAAATCTTCTGTGTTTACTACTTGAAAGCTAAATCACTTACTCTAGCAGCATTAACAATGAGTTAGAAGACTTCAAGCACTTGCTGTAGGAGTTTATGAGGCAAACTCACTGGTTAGCTTTTTAGACTCCTTGAAAGTCAGGAACTATGCTTTACATCCAAGGAACTCTCAGATCCTCAATTTTCTACTCCAAGGAACTCCCTGTATGTATCACTCTTATTTTTTCCTCTGTTTTATAAATAACTTCCCTAGCAAAAACCAAATCAAACCAAACCAAAACAAAAACAGAAAAAACAAACTTACAACTTTACTGGTTTTAGGTCAGTTCCTCAATAATTTCACCAAATAGCTTTACAGAAGAATTCTGTATTGGAAGGAGAAGTATGTACATACAGAAGAAATAACATGAAAAGGAGAAAAGAAGCTGAAGCTTTTTATGTCACTCCTTGCTGCTTAGTTTCCAGGACTGTTTCTTGGAACAAAATGCCTAATAAAAAGCAGTGCTTTAACATTTATGGTAGGAAAAAAGATAAGAGCAAAGGAAAGACCTTGAAAAATCTTGAAAAAACAAATAAAACAATTGCTAGCTACAGCCACTGTCACAATCTGGGCTAAATTCTACATCAATGACATTATTTTCACTGAAGAAGGTACAAGAGGGGAAAAGATCACCACGGTCAAAATTAATAATTAAATTGTCTATAGAACTTACTGGCTTGTTTTAACATAGTAGTTGATGTCCTGAAAGGGACTGTGGTACTTTCTTCCTCTTCTGTCATTGAGAGACACGCATCTCTATTGTCCCTACTTATTAGTTTTATGTAGCTAATTAAGTGGAAATCAAAATGAATTTTTTTAAATTCATGCATCATCACCAGAACTATTAATTAAAATCTTGTTGCTTCCAAATGTCAACAATGATTAGGCAGTAAAATATTTTTTGTGAGGTTACTCATTTGGGTGGAAGACAAGCTTACCATGGTAATATTGTTTTTAATAGTCTCTGCTAAAACAACTGCAAAATTATATGTTACACTGATGTAAATTAAAAAAAACATAATCTGTAAAACTGTGAGGCATGAATCAGAAAGATTCTCTTCAGATCCTAAGATGACAAAGGATAGCTAGAACATGTATCATTTAGTTGTATGTTACACAATAACCACTGGAGCCCACAACGGGCACATTTTTGTTAAAACTGAGAAACATTCAGCTTCCAAGGCCAACAGGGTTACAAAAAGTCCAATTTGTTCAGAATAAATAAGAGGGGGGAAAACAGCCAGATAAACCATGGCAGGCAGATGCAGAATTGCAGTGTCTTTGATCTATTGTGTTTGTGCACTTGAGATACAAGTGCACAGCTGTCACGCTTCATATGTGTGACAATTCAGCCTATAAAGCAGTGGTGTCAAAACGCTCCATAAAGTTCCAGAGTTCATTACTCCTGATTCATTGGCCAAGAGGAGGGCAATAATTTAAGGACAGTGATGAACAAACTCTTTCCTAATCATAAAATGCAATATCTTACTCTTTCTAGCAAACACACATCTCATCTGAGATTAGTCCAGTGGCTGAATCATCGCTATCTCCGAACAAAGAGCGGATGCTGACAGGGACGAAAAGAGTGCTGATCTGTTGCTCCACGCTTCTTACTGAAATAAAAAGCTGAAGTATTAGAGTGAATGAAAACAAGAGTCGCGACAGGCAGCGAGATGTTAATATCCTTCATTTTATGCATTACAGAAAATTACATCTGCATGCAAGCGTACGTACCTGGGTCAGTGTTATGCCTGCGCATGCTGACAAATTCCTGCAGGAATCTGTCCGTGCCAGAGGAGCCACATGACAGCCACATGCTGCGGCACGCACGTCTCGGTTTACAGGTGAATTAGGGCAGTTCGACCTCCTCTGGCGGCCCGCAGCCCCCGCAGGGGCCCGGGGAGCGCCGGCTCTTGCCCACACTCGCGGTCGCGCTCCCGCATGGGGCGAGTTCGGACCGCGCTCGCAGGAGCGCGGAGCCCACCCGGCACACGGCGGGAGCACAGACCGGCACACGAGTTCATGCTGTGTTTTTCAGGCACACGGGGAACACAGACCCCGCACATTCGGGGCGCACAGGCCCCGCACACGGGAGCCCCTCACACTTTATTGCCGCCCCCCACCCAGCCTCGCACCGCTCCCGACGCCCCCACCGCCTTCCCCACGCGAGGAGGTTTGAACCGCGCCAGCCGCCGTACGGAGGAGGTGTCACCGCCGCTTCCTCGCGGAGCGGCGCCGGCCGCGCCATGGAGCTCCTGCAGCCGGCCGCCTTTCTTCTCCTTCTCCCCCTCCTGCTTGTCCCGCTGGCGCTCCTGGCCAGGAGGCGCCGCGGCCGACGGACACCTCCGCTCAGTCTCCTGGTGGTGGCTGGCTCCGGTGAGTGGGGGTTGCCTCCGGCGGGAGCGGATGGTGCCGTAGAGCGACCACGCAAGGCTCTTGGAACTACGAGTCCCGGCATGCAGCGCGGGGCGGGCCCGGCGCGGCACGCGCCAGTAGGCCCCGGTGCATGCTGGGAGCTGTAGTCGCGGTGCCGTGATCCTTCCGCCGCAGCTTTCGCAGCCCACCCGGACCCATCCGGGTCCCCTCCGCGCTACCGCCTGCCTTTGGGGTTTTTAGTGCTCGATTTGAGAAATTGTTAAACCTCGTATTTATCTGGGGCGTTTTCGTCCGTGTTTATGTGAGGCAGTTCGGTTTCAGAGCCTTTCCCTCCGGCAGCACGTGCACTTCTCCAGAGTCGCTCACGAACGTACCGATAAAATAGTGCATGACTGACCTGTGCGGCTGCTCAGTCTGCTGACAAAAATTATCAATGGCGGTGGAGGGCACGGCTTTCCAACCATCGGCACACCCCTGACATACGTGGCGTTTTGTAATTTACCCAAACCACGTTCCTGTGATTTACTCACAAGAGCCTCACGTGGGTCCGTCAGAGGCGATACAAGAATGTCACCCCATGCTAAGGGAGCGCATACACGTCTACTGCTCCTTGTTAACCTCGTCCCATAAGTTGCAGGGCAATTAATTTGCCCCGAAAAACGAATTTGTAAAGTTGCAGTTGACAAATCCAGGCCAGCTTTGATTTCACCACCTCACTATCCCTTTGTTTTTTTGTGCACCAACTAATTGAGTAACAGTCTCAGGATCTTCCTGCAATCTGAGTTTCACTGGCAGTTTTATAATTCTTCAGGTCGTCTTTACTTCCACTAGGGCTGGAAATGTGCTTGTTTTCCTTCAGTCCTTTGGAATCTAATTTGTCTGTATTAAAAGAATACTTTCACTATACATAAGCTTACCAGGTGAAATAATTCATGTCAGTTAAGATTCATATAATGTTCAAGCCTATTTGAGACTTTAAGTAGGAGTCTCCTACTCTCATGTGAATGCTCAGATGATTGCATTAAAATTTGTGAAACCTCCAGCAAACATTGCTGACAAGAAAACACCTCCAAACATATTTAAAAAATACAGCATGAAATTGTGTGGAAAGGTGGCAAACTCTTGTTTGTAAAAGGCCACAGCATAGCATAGCCTGCCTTGCTTGTCAGTTGTTCACCAGTCATAAGTGTTTCACCTGTGTAACAGGTCTCTTAGGAGCCTGGTGACACTGGACAGAAGGAGGTAGTAGGAATACATTTAGTTTGCTATTTTGGTCTGCAGCTGCCAGCAGAGTAAAAAGTCACACATTCAGTAAATGCTTATGCACATAGCATAAGTGCAGTTTGATGTTAAGCTGATCCAGTCCAACAGATAAAAGGTGAGTCTGTTCCACCTCACCTTGTACACAGACTTCCCCTGTTGCAGTATCCCTGTAACTGCAGTTCAGGAAGCTCAAATGACAAAAAAAAAAAGTTAACCCTTCCCTCTAAAAAGCACAGTTAGTACTTCCTCTCCTTCTCTCCAGTCTGGTGCCAGTTTAGCTCCCTGAACCAAGTGACCTTGCAGTTGGAAGGTTGTGAGCACCTGTTCAAGGGCAGTGGTCAGAGCACCCTGCTGGAGCAGGACTGTTTGTTCTGTCGGCACCAGGCTGTTACACTGGAGTGGCTGCAAGAGAAACTGCTGCCCAGTTGATTTTGGTACTATGAGCTGGGATAGCACAGTCCCTGCTGAAAAACATCCATCAATACAGCTTCAGTGGGAGCTGGATTATCTCCACATTACTTAAACATTTAGTCTCAATCATCCTCTGATTGAATCCTCTACTCTCAGAAGAGCATCACTGAAAGTAGTAGTACTAACACGTTTCAAAAAGAAAAGTGACCAATTCAGCTGAAGAAATGGAAAGTTACAAAATTTCCCATATACTAACTGCAGTTTGTTTTGTTTTCACAGGTGGGCACACAACAGAAATCCTGAGGTTACTTAGCTGTTTGTCAGAGTCCTACTCTCCTAGACATTATGTTTTAGCAGACTCAGATAAGATGAGTGAAGCTAAAATACGTTCTTTTGAACAAAAAAGGTCTGAAACATTCCCTAAATCCCAGGTAACTTGTTAAATATATTCATGTAAAATAAAGTGATCTTAACATGGCATTCTAACTCAAGGCAATTTGGAAGTGATTCTTTAAAAGGATATTTATTTGAACAGCAAGTGCCTTTGATTTTCTAGGTATTAACCGTTCTATAGATAATGGGGCTTATGGTTCTAAAAGTGAGCTAAATAACCACTATTGATTATTGGTGTACTAGAGAGACACTGAAAATCTACTTAAAATAGCAAATGCTGTTCTTGCTACCAGTTTTCACAAACACCTTTCTTACTTTCTCTTGAAACAGTCTTTACCTCCTGTTTATATGTTAATCCATTTAAACCAATGAGGAAACATAATTGTAGAGAAAGCGACTGTATAAAGAAGACTCTTGCTCAAGAAAAACATGTTGAAAATAGATCTCTTTTAATTTTGTAAAGCAGCTAGCCACTGAAGTGTTATTGTAGCTATAAATATACTGGGTCAGAAATATGGTGGGGAGGTTCTTTTTTTAATTTGGCATTTCCCTCAATGACACAATTTATTTATTTTTTTTTTAAATTATATATAAATATTTTATATAGGTAAACCTTAATTGAAATTGTATTGGTTTTGTGTGTTTCTAGACTGTGTTTTGGTTGTATTTTAAAATAAAATATTGAACGTGTTTAAAAGAAATGTAAGGCCTCTGAATGTCAGAATTTTGTGGCTGATGATCGGAGTGAATGCTGAACTCCTAAAAATAATGAAAAAAATCATTAAAATATCTTGTTTATCTTTTAATCACATTTGCTTGCTTTGAGCTGGTTTGCTGCATGATTAACAGACAGCAGCATGACTGCTAACTTCAAGTGTGATCTGACATCCAGTGAAATTAGTAGAAAGATGGTATTTTTTAATTTAGAGTTTAGAATAAGTCCAGTGCCCAAGTGAGTATTCTAACTATAAAATCTTAAGCCCTCTTGAGCAAACAGTACAGCACGGAGTAAAATAATTATTTACATGGTGTCAGTTTCATTCGGTGCCCTTACATTGCCTTCAGCAGCGCTATTGGGACAAAAGGATGTAGGACTTGGTACAGTGATTTTTAGAATAAACCCTTTTACTGTAAGGCAGCTGCTGCTAAGGTGAGCCACAGGCTCACTTGGCAATGACATTTTTAAGTCTGCTTACCCCACTTCCACCTTGAAAGTTGAAGGTTCCTCGCCTGCCCACAAGCTGCCGGATGAAGTGGGGAAGATTTAGTTTAAATTGACCATGGCGGTCTCTTCTCTCATTGTGCACTGAGGATGAAAGTTTAGTAAAGTGACCAGAGGTATTTCCTGTTCTGAGAAATCTTGTTTGGTAAATAGCCATTCACACAGTTATATTCACTTATCTGAAAAATGTCCAACCTAAATTATTAAATTTCTTAAAAATACATATTTTGAGTATTAAAAGATAACATAATTTTCCATTAGTTCACTTGTTTTTGCTAAGTAGCTTCCTTTTCATACCCCCTCTGACTGCTAACAGATCATGTAGTTATATTTTCCTTCAACACTGAAAGCCAAAGAAATATTTTTGGCTGCATGTGAGTTTGATGTCTGGATAACAGATGCTCATTTTCCTTTGACCATTCTTTTTCCACTGAGCATTTAGAGAGAAAATGGGAGATAAATTTTGGAAAGTAAAGATCACATGCCTATAAAATGTATTTGCTAACTTTCAGAGTGTGCTTTCAGATACTGGCACATAGTATGCATTTTGTTACTGGGGATGCTGGAGATCATCAAGCATTTAAAAATTATGTGCTAGTAGCTTCTTACAGCTTTGAATAGAAAAGTTTGAATGCTTCCACACATGGTTATTCCCTTCCCCATCTTGTGAAGGAAGTAAATTTTTCCAGAACTAAGGACCAGATGGAAGACAAATTAGAGAAATAACCTAACAGAAAATCAGTGATGTAAGAAAATGATGATGTAAAAACCCCCACAAATACTTTACTTTCTGATCTGTGGTCTAGCCTAGCTCTAACAGCTACAGTATTCAGGGAGAAGGAAAAGAAGCCAGAATGAGCATCTTGCTTTCAAGAAGGAAAATGCTGCACCTCAACCTACTAAGTCATTTGAAAAAAAGAAATCCAAAATGCCTCCTATGAAAAGTCTCTGGTCCTGCTATCACTCTGTTGTACCCAGCCTGTAACCATAAATATTCCACGTGGATGCTCCCCGAGCTGTTACTCAGGGAACCTTCTATGCTCAGCATAGAGAACCTGCTCCAGTTGCTGTCAGCCTACTCTTGCAACAGAAAGACAACTTAGATTTGTTGACTGAAGAACATGAATTCTTCACTGGATCTTATATTCCCCTTTGTCACGTCTAAGATGAGCAACCAGGTTAACTAACCTTTACATAAACCTCTTCTGACCATATATTTCCATTTTTTGTTTCATGAGAGATACCATACTAAGAAATCTTGGTTTTCAGCTTGAAAAGGAGCTGTGTAAACCCAGCTTCTTTGCAAGCATTGCAGTATGTTCAGTTGAGCATCTTATAATAATTCAGAGTAGTTGCTATTTTCCACCAGCTTTTCCTTGCATGCTTGCATACACGAATATTAAGTAGGTAAAGGACTAAAGTTTCCAGCATGCTTCTGAAAAGAACAGATAAAATCAGCTTGATCTTTACTTGAATTCTACAAATAAATTTCTTCTTTGATACTATTTGGGGTCCCTGCCAAGTTTTATTGAAATTACTTGGGTTTTCTAATGATGAAGAAAATCACATGCAGATTTTTTTGTCAAATAAACTCCATTTACAACATTTCTTTTTATCACCTGAACTCTTCCAAAGCTTTAAGAAACAGAGAGGCAGTGATAACCAGAAAGCTGTTGAATAGGGAGCAGAGGGCATATTTATTTTTCCATATTCTGTTGTCAGAGTAATGCAATCAGAGTTTCAACACCTGCAAATAAAACATAAAAAACCCAGTTTATAACATCTGTTAATGCCTGTTGGTATCACAGCTATTAAAGAAACATATCACAACAAAATAGGTTAATTTCAGCTAAGAAAATTAACAGTCTGCATTTATAAATGTGGGTGTGGGGGTTTTATTCTTTCCAACTTAAATATTAAAAAAGTCCCAGTTAGTGCTATTCAAGACTGATTTGTAGTTTGTATTTACTGTACAGCCACTGTTAACATCATCTTTCCTGGGCACAAATCACCAGGACTAAGCTATAATAATTAGCAATGTGTATTTGAAGTAACTGGGTAACTTTCAATATTTATATTTAGTGTTTCTCACTCCCAGTATAAGTTCTTCCAGAGTGGTAGTGATCTGCTGTCCTAGATGAAGTGAGATAACAACCACTGTCCACAGGAACAGTGTGTCAGTGTCACTGCAGCCTTTATATTTGTCTTTCGTTTAAACAGTCAAACATTAGGATAAGGACTGCCTTCTGACATAGCACTAAGTTCTTATGTGCAGTTTTGATGTGTAGCTCCTCTCCATCAAGAGATGGAGCCACCTACAAAGAGTGCAGGCAGCCTAACTGCTGTTACCTGCTCACAGTGTTTTCAGACAAGAAGAAAACATCCTTGTTTTATTAATTTGATACCTTTTACACAGTAAATAATCTTTACTTTTTCCTAGGGAAAAAAAAAAGATTTATTTTTAATTTAATGATAAGATGTTCTTTCCTCTTTCTTTATGCAAATATTTTGCATTTTGAATATGCAACTTAGATATCTTTTGAATACTCACTGAGTACTCATTTAAAGGATAAAGGATAGCGATATTTGCTAACAGCATTCGCCGGGCATTGACTGAGAAAAGCTGTTGCATTCTCTGGGGTGTGGATGCACAGAGGGTTCCAGCGGGCGGGAGGCAGCAGAGTCCCCGTGTGCGGGCTGTGCGGTCAGGGCTGGCGGTGCCCACGGGGTGCCGCACTCGGCTAACACACCGCGGGGCAGCTGCGCCGGCACGGCTGGCTGGGACCTTGGGAAGGTTTTAAAGTAACCCGAGAAGGGATTACACAATAGGTATGCAGTTCTAGTATTTCTGTTTACTTTATTGCCACGAGTGCTAAGCATCGCACCACGGGCATCTGTGCAAAGCCCTTATACCCGAACATTTCCAAACTAGATTTAAAAAAAAAAAAAAAAAAAAAAAAAAAAAAAAAAAAAAAAAAAAAAAAAAAAAAAAAAAAAAAAAAAAAAAAAAAAAAAAGGTTGGCACAGACAGATGTAGTAACGCTATAGAAGGAGCAACATTCTTAGAAAAGTAACAGTTCCACTTATCTTGCTCTCTTCCAGTTCACCCTTCATCGCATTCCCAGAAGCCGTGAGGTTAGACAAGCCTGGATCTCCTCTGCAGTAACAACCCTATACTCTATGCTTTACTCTCTTCCTTTGACCAACAAACTGAAACCAGATTTGGTAAGTAAAGTAAATTTTAAGTCGTTGAGAACTTGCTAATCAGCATCATAGAAGCATTTGAAATATCAACACATTGCAGACTATATCTCATATGCTTAGATTTACAGTTCACAGAAAAAGTATTTCTTAACGCTAAATGAAATATAGCAGCAATACATCAAGAAAGAGAGAACAGGTTACACTGCTGGTGAATTAGAGCAGCAAATACCAGTTTTCTTTCTCAAAGTTTGCAAGTAACATCAGAATGTGTCATTTCCTTGTTAATGCTGGTAGAACTAGCAAAAACAAAGTTGCTATTCTTGATAATATCTCTTTAGGATTGCAACAGCACAAACTATGCCTGAAAGCCCGGTTATCCTGTTAGCTGGACTTGCTTCTAAAATGGTATGACCAGTCTGGCACAGGCAGGTTCAGACCAGCACAAATATAAACAGATACAGTTCTTATGCTTACATGGACTTTTGAGGTACAATGCATATTTATTTAGTCTTTGGCTGACTGACATTAATTATCTCATCTAATGACAAAAAACTTTATTGCTGAAGTAGCAACTCCTCAGCACTTCGGTAACTTTTTAAGCTGTTCACAAAACTGCACTCTCATGCTAATTACCACATTCATTTAAAAGTATTCCACACACTTGAACAAGTCAGAAGCATTCAGGGTTGTCAAACTGTAGAACTAAAATGGAGATACCCAATCAATAAAGTTTTGTTTTAATGCAAAAGGTACGCACTGGACTCCTACTCTTAAGTCTTACAATTCTGTAACAGAAAATTTGGTTACAGATGGATTTTTTTTTTCCCTACAGCTGAAAGTCTCTGAAGGAGTCAGTAACCTAAACTTGTGGGTTTTTTTAAAAGCATTATTTTACCAGAATTTCAAGTTAATATTTTATGAGGTTTTAAATATTTTAATGAAATGTGTAAAGACTAGTGCAGTTACAAGGTATTTTTCATAATTTCATAGCAGCATCTAGACACCCACAGGGGTTATTTGTAAGGAGACCTTTTTTTAACTCCCACTGTGAACTGTATGGCCAATTCTAAAGAGGCTTTTATATATTTGTGGTATTCTGAATGTTTAGAGAGGCTGCTGTGAATAATTTGATCTCATCGGCTTCAGTAGTACTGGTCAGTTCCTATCAGATCAAAAGCTACTTGCTTGCTGGAATTTTTCAAGCAATTTACTGTGCCGAACAACAGAAGTAGCTTTTTTGCATTTGTTGTTTTTCAAGCCTGTTCTGAAAAGGTAGAGTTGGGAGAGAGAAGAAGATAACATGCTATTCTTTTTACAGAGGTTTTAATTTGGGCAGGGGAAATAGTCAAGTTTGTTTACATGAAGCAGACAGAGCAAATGTGAGTAATATTTAGTAATCCCTTTGCTATACCACTGTGTTAGGTTAATGCATATATTTTTTTTACTTGTTGCAAAAGAAATTGACTGGAAAAAACTCACCATGTAGCTTACTGTAGGAAGCAGGAAGTTACTAATTTAATTTCATGTTTTCTCTGTTTACAAAAGGAATTTAAAGTGACAGTGAGATTTACACATAAAATTATTAGAAATAGTGTTGGAGTTGATAAACTATGGTAAGCTGTCAAAAGACTAACATTTTTGAAAAACAGTTGCCTTTGTAAAATTGAGAATACATTTCAGCAAGGCTTTTAAGCCCTTTGTAGTGTTCAAGGGAACCCCTGACTCAAAATGATATCCAAGACTCTTTATCCATGATTAGAGAGGGGCTGGAGGGGAGGTTGTCCCCAGTTACTTTTTGTCAGGTGCAAGTATCAACCACAGTAGCAGCTGGCAGAAGCATCTCTAGCATTATGCCAAATCTTACACCACTTGAAAGCTGCTTACATACGACTGCTTGTATACGTCTTACTTTCAGAATTCTGTAAAATATAGAAACTCAGAGAGCTCTAAAGATTTTAAAACACTTATCCAAGGAGAGTGATTCAGGGATTAAAATGCTTCACACTGCCAGTGAAAAGATTGTGTGGTATGTGAAGCAACTGGCAGTATTTAATTACCTTCAGACAAAAAGGATTGCAGGGAATTGCGACTCACCCTACTCTTGGCAAAATGCAATGCTTAGTAGTTTAAAGAACTAGAAAGGCTGGGACAAATGCTTGAGTTTATGGGAGTCATCTATAACTTTTGGCATGACCGAGTTTAGAAACTAGCACAGTATTACATCATGCTGAGAGCTTCATATTTTTAAACACTAGAGCTTGTGGGTACTCTACATTTTCAGTCTAGACACTGGTTCTGTTTAACTGCAGGAGGGAAAGACAACTTTGAATTGCTTCTAAAGCATTTGTATGTATAAGTGATCCCTAAATCCTTACATTTGCTTTTAGGCTTGTCAGAAACGTGTAAGTACAAAGGAATGACTGAAGTCTTCTCCAGGCACCCGAAAGCTAGAAAAATGCAGAAGTGTTGTTGTTTTCAAGAAATATAGAACAAGAAAAGTGCTGCAAAGGGAACCTGAAACCATTAGGTGCACAAAGGCAAGGTTTGGAACAGATAAGCTTAGTTTGGCATAGCTTGCATATCTGTGGAATGAAAATATCTGCAAAGGGGAAACAGCAAACCTAGCTGCACAGGAGTTACTTGCTATGTGCTTATTTATATGAGCACTGTGTCCCTTTTTGTATCTCACACTGATCTTCTGGCAAAGCTTCTGGGTTTACTTTGCATGAGAAAGCAGTTCCATCCGACCCTTCTTCAAGATAGTGAGTTCAGAAAGAACTGAACAACTTCCAGGAGACCTTTGCTGTCTTGCAGGACCTGACCCACACTTGAAGTGGGCCCCCAGAGAGCTTAAGAAATGTAAAAGTTAGCCTAGTTGTTCAGCTTGAGATCATCTTCAGGAGGCCCATTTCTGAGTTATGAACATCTGCACTCTGCAAAGTCAAGTCCCTTTAGATATATTAAACCAAGTAACAATTAAGATGTCAGAAGTGATGATCAGCTTGTGTTTGTATAGCCAAGAATTATAGAAATATAAGTGTCAGCATGTTTTGCAAGCGAATGTATAGTGGGCAGTTTTTGCAACATTTATCTGCCTTAAATAGGCTTCCTCTACAATGGCCTAAAATTCCAGGGAAGCAAGGCTTGTGCCAGCGCACTGTGCCTACACCTACCTTTCCCCAGAAAAGCTTTTCAAACCATTCATCAATTTCTGCCACATTTAGCATGCAGTTGTAGCTCAAAGACTGCAAATTTCTACCATGAAAACAGGCAGCTGGTCAGAGAAGAGAGATTTACTGTCTTCATTGAGGGAAAGGCTAAGAAGATACAAGTTAAAGGAAACTGGTCTTCAGTTCTCTTGCTGCTCACAGAACCATTGTTCTTGGGCTGGTTTGCCAACCCTGCAAACAGGTTTTCAGGTGATCTAGCCCTTTGTCTGGGTCATGATTATCCCTGGTCATTCTGGCATAGCTGACATTCAAACTGGAAACAAAGGATGTGCACCCACCATACAGCAGAAAACTGCAAAATACTGTATCCAGTCCTCGTTTTCAGCCATAGAGGGGTTATGTACTTGTACCAGTGATTTTGTCCTTTAATATAATTAAATTTCACCTAGAACTGGGCAGAAATGCTGCATAAAGCCTTATTCATTAGTAGATTGCACATCCTGGACCCTCAGGACCAGACTTCTTTCCTTTTCTGGAGACGCTTCTCAGCAGTTCCTAGTGCCTCAGGGCCCTACAGAGCCTGAAATAAGCAGATATTTTCAGATCACTGCTATTTGGAAAAACCTGGGTTAAATCAGGCAAAGAAGGCGGTCCTCCCACATGAGGGCCTCCTTCCTGTGGGAAGTCTGTAGTAAGAAGTTTACATTTGCACAGCAAGAACAAGCTCTGCTGTCTCCCTCCCCACCAGCTGTCAGTTGAATGAGTCTCTCCTTGTTAAACTTTCTAGAAGCCTGAAACCTGCACAGCTCATCATGCATGTAGCAATCTACCTATTCTTTTATGACTGCACATCCCATCACACGTGTCTGGTCCCCTGACTGCTTAAACTGACTACAGGCAGCTTCTAGCAACAGAAATGTTCACACAGTAAGCTAAATGAAAAGAGACCATTATTCCATTTAGCTAAGATTTTCCATCCTTTGTGCCCTGCCCAAAAGTTCATAGCACTGTAACAAATTACTGTGACAAATAGTAAGTTATTGTCCCTTATATCACGGTTCTTATTGGTACTTCATGGAAAGCTACAAAATCTGGGTGGTGGCATTTTTTCTCTATTCACTTCATAACAAGTGAACTTTGTATAATGCAATATTAAGACTATCTGCTGCATTCTTTTACACACTGAACCTTTCGCCACTATTTATAATTCTTTTGGACCAGACTGACGGTGTGTCTGACCTACTGTTGTTGTTCGAGGATCAAAACAGTCAAAATAAGCAAGAGTAAGAATATCAGATTAGGACCTGCAGTGACACAAATTGTTTAGTCAAAAAAACCCAAAGTTAAGCTATCAAAATTTGTGCTTAACTTCTCAGTGTTGATGGAAGTTAGTTTTATTCACCCCTCCTCTACCTTGTGTGCTGTGTACTGCTACTCTGCACCACAATGTAGAATTACCCTCTGCTGAGCACAGATAAACATCTACAGCTATTCCAGTCCGTTGGTTTAAAGCTTCGTTGTAGCTCTGCTCTTTCTGTGACTGCTGATTAGACGTGTCTATAGACACTACATTTCAGAGGGAGCACAGAAGTACTGGTAAAGATGAAGTGAGTTTTTAGCTTAGATTTAAGCAGACTTTAGACATAAAAGAGTCTTAACTCATCAGCTATCAGGTTCATTATAAACCTAATGAACACCCTGGCGACACTTCCATGTATGTTATAAAACGTAACAGTCTGGCTAAATCTAACCACTGGTATGAGATACAGATTGCCAACACCTCTAGGGTTTGCATTGCGAAGATATTTTGGGCAGGTATTTGATGCACATTCTTGCTGTGCCAACTTCAGT